AAGGATTTGTCTTATGTTGAGGAACTGGTGGCCATTTTAGGCAGACAGGTCCGAAAGTTGAGGACGAAGAACATTACTTCAGTGAAGGTTCAGTGGAGGGGTCAGCCAGTCGAGGAGGCGACTTGGGAGATCGAGCATGATATGCGTAGCCATTATACCCGTCTTTTCACCACTTCAGGTATGTCTCTATACTCGTTCGAGGACTAATGTCTATTTTAATAGGGGGAGGATGTAACGATCCGGCCGGTAGTTTTAAGTATTTTAGCCCCGATCCCCTATTTATTGCCTTTTTATGTCATATTTTGGTTATGTGACTTGTCGGGGGTGTTTGATTTTGGTTTCAGGTGAGTTTCGGGGTGGAATGAGACATATAGTCCCTAAGTTGGAGCCTTGAGTTGAAAGAGTTGACTGTAGTTTGAATTTTGTTTAGACGACTCTGGAATGGAGTTTTGATGGTCCCAATAGCTCTGTATGGTTATTTTAGACTTAGGAGCATGTCCAAATGTTAATTTGGAGGTCCGTAGGTCGTTTCGGCGTGAATTGCCGATAGTTAGAAAGTTGAAGGCTTGGAAGATTTGAAAAGTTTGACCGGGAGTTGACTTTATTGATATTAGAGTCGGATTCCAATTTTGGAAGTTGGAATGGTTTGTCATGTCATTTATAACTTGCGTGCAACATTTGAAGTCAATCGGAATTGGTTTGGTATGAATCGGCACTTGTTTTGGAATTCGGAAGTTCATAGTTTCATAGGTTTGAATTGGGTTGTGATTCATAGAATCGATGTCGTTTGATGTGATTTTTGACCTCGAGTAGGTCCGTTATGTGTTTTGGAACCTGTTGGTATATCCGGATGGGGTCCCGGGGGCCCCGGGTGTAATTCGGATTGAATCCGGAACAAGTTTGAACCTTGTTTGATTGCTGAAGTGTTGTTGGGACTAGGGCAATCACACCTGTGCATTTTTGGTCGCAGGTGCGGCATCGCAGAAGCAATCCTCGAGCAGCAGAAGCGAAGCTGGCCTTGACCATCTGGGATCGCAGGTGCGAGGAGTTTTCCGCATCTACGAGTCCGCAGGTGCGAGGAGTTTTTCGCATCTGCGAGTCCGAAGGTGCGGAGAAGTGGTCGCAGATGCGGATGGGGCTAGCTTGGTCTATTGTTTCAGAAGCAGGCCTTGACCGTAGGAGCGAGTGCGCAAAAGCGCGTGTTACTCCGCAGAAGCGGGAGCATAGATGCGCGTTTGGTCCGCAGAAGCAGAAAATCATGGCCTAAGTGGAAACCGCACCTGCGATGGTATCCGCGGGTGCGGCGTCGCAAGTCCTAAAAGGCCGTAAATGCGGAATCCCTGGGCGGAAAAGGGGTCTTCGAGGGTTTGAGTTTCATAATCCATTTTTGGACCTAGAGAGCTCGGTTTGTGGCGATTTATCGGGAGATTTGCAAGGAAATCATTGGGTTGAGAAATCCTAACTCGATTTTGGTTAAATTACACGAATCTATTGTAATTTCATCATTTAATTAGTGATTTGAGTTGGAAGTTTGAGGAAAAATTGTGAAAACTTCTTAGGCTAAAATTTGGGGATTTGAAAGGCGATTTGAGGTCAGATTTGAGTAATTCTTGTATGGTTGGACTCGTTATTAAATGAGTGTTAGGATTTTATAATATTGGTCGGGTTCCAAGACGTGGGTCCGAATTGACTTTTTGAGTTGACTTTTTATTTCCCTACGAAGGTCGTAATTTTATTTTTCGAAATAGTTTCATATAGTTTCTATTTGTGGTATGAAGTTATTTTGGCTAGATTCGAGCCGTTCGGAGTTGGATAATCGAGGGAAAGGCCTACTAGTGGATTGAATTAGCGTGAATCGAGATAAGTGTTTTGCCTAACTTTATGTGGGGAAATTTACCCCTTATGATTGGTGTTGTTTGTGATAACTGTGATGTGTAAAAGTCGTGCACACAAGGTGACGAGTATGTGCACGGGCTAAATGTGAAAAATTTACCGGTTTGGCTATGTAGATTCCTTTCATGCCTTAATTGAGTTACCTTAACATGTTATAGTCATCATTTCTAGTCTATCTCCACATGCTCTACTTGTCTTATTTCTTACTTGTTAATTTGCCCTACATGTTTATTTGAAGTTGCTGTTGTTTCCTCTATTTCTTATTCATTATTTAACCATGAATTCTTTACTTGAAGTCGTTATTCTTGGAATATCTTGTTGATGAAACCAGTATTGAGTTATAAAGGTCGTGATTCACATTGAGGCAAAGTGTTAAGTTGTGAAATATTAATTTGTTGAGTTATTCACTTCCAGTTATTATTGTTGAGACTCTTGTGTACATTATGGTTGAGCCATGAGCTCTTTATTGTGAAAACACTATTATTGTTGATTTCTTTGGCAAGTTGTGATATTGGGAACTTCAGGTGCAATTTGTGATATGTTGTGATATTGATATGCATGCGGTGGTATAAGATTTTGGGGTTGAAACGCATGCGGTGAGATAAGGTGGACTTGATACGCGTGGCTCGTATGGGAACTACTAGAAGCCACGAGGTGTGATAAGGTGGGCTAAAATGCGGAATGCTATTTCGGGAAAATGATTTTCAAAACTAAATGCAAGGCTCCCGCGGTGATATAAGAAAAGATTGTGATTTATCCTTGTGATTTGAGACTACAAGGCGGAACCTCGGTAGTGACTCTTGTTGGTATTTCTCTATTGCTTCCCTTGTGTTTGGTTATTGTGTTTCCTTAGCATATCATTCCTTATTTTCTTCGTGTTGCATTATTTGCTTTAGTTCCGTGTAGCTAAGCTTGATATGTTATTGTTGCTTCAATTTCATTGCTATCATTACTACACGGTCATACACTTGTACAGTTTTTCTTATTTATTCCAGTTGGGCCTTGACCTGGCTTCGTCACTACTCTACTGGAGTTAGGCTTGGCACTTACTGGGAACCGTTGTGGCTCATGCTACGCTTTTGCACATCTTTTTGTGCAGATCCAGGTTCCTCCTATCAGCCCAGGCATTAGCGAGAGCTTAGCTGCGGAGACTTCAAGGTATACCTGCCGGCGTCCGCAGGCCTCGAAGTCCCCCTCTACCTAGACTATTTTATTTCCCTATCCTCTTATAGACATTGATGTATAGGGCTATTCAGTACTACTATTTAGAGCTTGTGACTTGTATTCGCCGGGTTTTGGGAAGTTGTATATACTGAGTTGCAGAGTTACTTTATATTAAACTGTTGAGTATTTGAGAATTATTTGTCGTTTCAGTTATATTCCGCATATTTCGTTAGGCTTACCTAATCTTAGATAATATATGTTATCACAACATCCTACGGAAGGGAATTGGGGCCGTAACAGGGGCAAAATACCCCTCTCCGCTAACAGCCATTTCACGTGGAAAAGAGTTATGCACGTGAAAAATTATCGGAAACTCAATTATCTCCTTGCCGTATTTGGGTCAACTTTACTCCTTTACTATTTTATTTGAAGCAATTTTACCCTTTGACAATTCGAATATAAGCAATTTTAGCCTCCGAAAATTTTCTTCTCATTTTTTATCCTTATTTTTTGTTGGTTTTATTTGGAAAAATAAGCAGGTAATGAAAATATTAAAAGCTATTGGATTCACATTAGTTGTCCTCTCTAGCCTTATTTTTTTTTTTAAATTAATATTTGGGTGTTAAATTTTATGTTGTTATACGTGAAATTTGATCTTCTGATTTCATCCAAAAACTGATGTGATTTTCTCTAAAAAAAAAATATCCATCTTTGTTCTATGTGCACAACATATTTAGCTAGCGTTTGGACATGAATTTGGTTGAAACTTGAAAAAAGAATTTTTGAAGTTGTGTTGAAAAATAATTTTTGGACGTGTTGTATTTTGACATGCATTTTATTTGAAAAAGAAATTGAAGTTTTATGAGTAAAAAAAGTCACCCAAAAACTGCCTTAAATCAGTTTTTGGGAACTTGAAAAAAAAAAATTAATTTTTTTTAAAGACTGATCATATTTCATGAATAAACAATGCTTTCAAAAAAATTGAATAAAGTAATCAAAATCTGTGGTCAAACGGGGACTTATTGTATTTACTTATAAAGAATTTATTTTTATTATCATCACTATTACTATGTTCTTTTATTCATTTTTTTCATCCTTCCTTTTTTTTCTGCCACTATTCACCAACCACTCGAATTTGGCATTTTATTTTTCAAATTTTAGTTTTTCAACTTTCTTTAGTTCCTTACAATTTCAAGGTTCTTCTTTGTAACTTGATTGTTTTCAAAGTTGACTTAATTTATTATCTAATTTTTGAAGTTTTAAACTTATACATAATGTCTTTGGATTTGATGTAATAAACTTGTTGTTTAGCATTATCTTTTAAAACTATATTTAAAATATTATTACTTTTTTGCAAAAACGTATTCGCCGGTTATTATGAAGTTTTGAATGAAGAATTTTTCTCACGCACATTGTGCGAGAAAACTCAATAGTTTGGTATTATCTTCCGCTTTCTTTCGAAACATCAACGAGGATAAAATTACGCATTTTTGAATAGTAGAAGGATACAATTGCTCCAAATTAATTAGTAGAGGGATAAATTAGCCCAAATGAGGAAAACAAATAATTGAGTTTCTGATGATTTTCCTGTGGCATCGACATTAGATGGCCGTTAGCGGAGATGGGTATTTTGGGACCTTTAGGGAATAGTGGGATTTTTTATTTATTTTTTTAGAATTTAACGTCCTAATATTTTTACATTGTTACAATTCCACACAAATTTCACAATAAAAAAGTGAATCCATTAAAACAAAGACTACGTATAACATTTCTTCCACTATTACTAATAAAATATACATGTCAACCTATAACATTTCAAACCACATGACCTGCCAAATACCTTTCATTTAAAACGAAAGAAAGCAGTTCACAATGTTATAGAGGCTCATATTTAACCACGAGAACCAGCTTGCAGTAATCACTTGAGCCACTCAAACCAAAAGTAACCCTCGTAAATGAACAAATAGCATAAAGACTAAACGAATGAACTTAGCTTACAAATAGGGATAATTAAATGAGAATAAGGGCCAAAAAAGGAAGGAAAAAGAAAAGCTCATACCAATTTAATATACAGTAGTATTTCAATCATAAGAAACATCGCTGCCCGTCACACAAAATAGCATTTCAATGGTTTATGATAACATCAATTCTCAGATTTAGAGATCTGGAGAACATTTCGCTACACCTATTCTACCCTGCCATCTTCCTCGGACATGCCATCCCCTCCATGCCTGTAAACAAATTTAGTACAAAGTTGAGATATGACTGCATTTTCTAGACAGTACGACCAATCTAAAGTGCAATAGAACTGAGTTTTCAACACAATTCTTCAGCGGGATAACAAGAACATAAAGACTCGAGCAAAAGGAATAACTAGAATACATATGGTTTTTTCACATAAATGCAACCGCTCATCAGCTGTTGTAGGTCATCACTAATTACTATATTCTTGGTTACTTTGCCCTCGTCTTGTATAACACAAACTTGATGTAGTAGTGTGGGAGTACTTCCCCAGGCGCAGTGATTTCATTGATGCCAAAGCATATTTTTTTTAAAAAAAGGTCTCCTCTTTCTCTTACTAGACAGATGAAAACCTTTCCGCCTATTATCCAGTTTGACATGGTATGTCAGTGAGTCCGTCTTTAGATGATTATCATTTTATTTATTTTGATAAAGTATCTTTAAATATATATGAAAATGGAGCTTTCATGTATAATCATCACAGCTAGAAGAATAGTAACAGCCCAAGTCCTGCTCATTCTCAAATTTGTAGGATTCTGTTAGTTCATTCCTGAAAACTGATGCCATAACTTAGTTTAGAAAGGGGCTACAAATATATGCTGATTTTTTTTTATAACCGTGGTGTCCGGGCCAGCTTGCGTGCACCTCGACTAATTCCACGGTATACTTGTTATCTCCTACCATCAGCAGGTACCAGATAACTCTGTCCACCAAGGCTAGACATATGGGAAGAAATCACCTAATGTTTTCGCCTGAGACATGGTTCTTAACCCACTTCATTGACCACTAGGCCACACCCTTGGGTGCAACAAATATATGCTGAAATTAGTCTATTGATATGTGATAAGGTAGGTAAAATTTCAATCCTCCAGCTGATGGAAGTCTAGCAAGGGTGCCCGGAAATTGGTACTCCCTCTGTTCCAATTTATGTGAACCTGTTTGACTGGGCACGGAGTTTAAGAAAAAATAAAGACTTTTGGAATTTGTGATCTTAAACAACTCAAAAAGGGGTCCACACTATTTGTGTAGTTATAAAAGCTTCTTACTAAGGGTAGAATTGAGATTTTAAGCTAAATTGTTTCCAAATTTAGAAAGGGTTCATTCTTTTTGGAACGAACCAAAAAGGAAATAGATTCACATAAACTGGAACGGAGGGAGTAGTTCTGTACATACATCACCAGTGAACAAGAATCCATCATCGACCAACAGGTCTTCATCAGATTATGAACGCTTGCTGTCTGCTGAAGTTTGATTTTTCCACCCCAAATTTGACCTTCTCTGACCAAAGAAGAGCTAGAGCTACAGACCAACTTTTACCGTACCATCAAAACGATTAGCTCGCTCTTATTAAGTTAAGAACCATAGTGCTGCAATAAGACACTTTTCTTTTTTGAGCAAGTATAAGACTTATAAACTCAACACAAGCACTCAAAAACCTAATTACCTCTTAAATATGACCTGATTGTTCACATGAAAAGCAGCTATTTCAACATGTTGCCCGCGGAAAGATAGAACACATAAAATGAGCTCATTTCTTTGTAGAAAAGTATGACACCTAACTATAGCTGGATGTTTCTTCTACAGTCCATCCTTTTGCACACAACGGGCTTACCTTCCATTCCCCAGCCAACAACCCAGCTTTGGTCAAACACCCAACTTTGAACCATGGATATTATGGCCCACTTCATTGTGTTTCAGGGGGTGATTTTTAAAAATAGCCAGATTTACAACTGGTCGTTCAAAAATAGCTCAATTTCAAAAGTAATCGAAATTTAGCCACTTTTTATGTAAAGAGAAATCTGAGCGAAAACACTGTTCAAAACCCGGAAAATAATCCAGTATATTATGGTGGAGTTCCAGCATAAGTATACTTGAACTCCAGCATATTATACTGGAGTTCCAGGATAGTATGCTGGAACTCCAGCATAATATGATGGAGTTCCAGCATAAATACACTAGAACTCCAGCATAATATACTGGAGTTCCAGCAAGTATAATGGTCCAGTATAATATACTGGAGTTTGGAGCACCAGTGCTCCAGTCTCCAGTATATTATACTGGAGCCAGCAAAGTATACCGATCCAGCATAATATGCTGGAGTTCATACACAAGTGCACCGAACTCCAGTATACTATGCTGGACCGGTCTCTATTGCAGCAAAACGGTGGCTATTTTTCATTGACTTGGTAAACACTGGCTATTTTTGATTGACCAGTCCGAAAATTGGCTATACCGTGAAATTTTAACTGTTTCAGGAAGTTAATTGAGCCCAAAAAAAAGAGAGGAAAAGAAGCCTATTTATTCCCTGACTACGTTTGCTTGTGTGAGAACACTATGAAAGCTTTTACCCTTGTCTTCTTTCATTATGCATAACTTTTCAATGTCCTGGTGGCCTGTTGGAAACATAAAAAGGACACTTTCTTTTGTTTAGTCAAAACGAAGTGGTACTTTTCTGTTAACCATAATGCATGTTTAACAATTTGTTTTTGGTAAGTTATAAAAGTTAAAAGTAATGCATTTTTAACAATTAAGTAACTTCAAAAGTAAGAATATCCAGTTTATAAATAATAATCTGATCTAGAACTTTACAAAATAATAATCTCTACTTAAAAGGATCTTCACCAAATTTGACCTATTTTAGTCATCAGACAAACTTCTCATGCGTGCACATTAGAATATATACTCTTTCCATGTTTTGTCGGAATTGGCACTAGTATCTGTTCCTTAATTCAGATAGTCCTCTTTCTTAATTCATAGTTAAGTTTTTATCGCATTCAACATTACAATAAATTTGGCACCTGCTTTGGTGCAATTTTTGTTCAGACAATTCAACACATTTAAATAGAGAGTTCTCTATAAGTAGCATAAAAACATAAAATCCACACTTGATAGGAAGCATGGGTAATATTATCCTCAGCCCACCAGCCCAAAGGTACTGTCTAGTCTAGTTTTGCTACAAAATGACATCTATGCAATTAACACCTGCCTTAGTGGAAAAAATAAGGTTGTCATTATTTTAACCTTAGCGACCAGCCACAAGTGATGTATCTTATAGAAGCCACATCTAAAACTAAATAAACCATCCAGGACTAACATTCACCAAAGCTGATAACTTCCACACCATCCAACAGAAGTTACATCAAAACCAAATTAGAAAAATGACATCTAGTTCTCATACACTTACCGCCAGGAAGTGGTAAGATTCCGAGCTTTTCTGTCCAACTGAAGGTTTTCCAAGGCAGATGAAGCACGAATTACATCTTCTGCAAGTTCATCGTTGTCATATCTCCAATTGTATTCATCCTTCCTGTACCCAGATACTGACGAACCTGCTCTTCTATCTAACCATCTCAACCATATGAAAAAGGTTACGCATTTATCCAGGAATTAATACAAATAAAGCGGGTGGACTACTTACCAGATGACTGGGCAGCAGGACCTGGCCTGTGGCATGAGATGTTCCCAAGTCAAAATCTTAAATCAAAATAGAAAAATAACTAAATAAATTAACACAACAGAAGATACTATACTAGTGTCTTAAATGTAAACCTTCCCAATGGAGGTAAGCCCCCGGCAACTGAAGATGAAGAAGGCCTCCTCATGTTCCTTGTTTCTACATTGGAAAGAGATTCAGCATCTGGTGTTGTCAATCTCCTCCCACCACCCCTTCCTTGAGATAAGTTCTGCAAAATAGATTTTAAAAGCTTGACCTTAAAGCTAATTCCTACTAGATAGACTTAAATATTTACCATAGTCAATTTGAATGCAGGAAAATGTAAACTGCAAATGCTATAACCATCAACTAATGGAACTGCATAAACATTTAAAGCCACTAACTGAACCTGGAATGGGAGACTGTTAACCACAACAAAAGGCAATGAAGATCCCAAAACCACAACAATAATCAATTTCTACCAGTACAAGTTAGATTTATTAACATTGACACACTTGTGTACACTTGAATTTTTAAAATCAGCAATACCCAAAGCGTAGAAAGCTTTTTAGTAAGGCAATCGCATGCGAGCAAGGTTAAAGGTTCAAATACAAGCCCCTGGTATTGATAGCACAAGTGGACATACTCATGAGACAATGACAAGAAAGAAGTGCTCAAAGCAGAACAAAGAAACAAATCGTGCTGAACAAAATTAAGCTTAGTGTCTTCATTATCCTATTGGTCAGTATCACTAGTAAATCATGAGATCTGTCCCAATTGGGTCACACTTTAATGCTGTATGACCAGCTATTTGGCAACATGGCAACTTCATAATATTTATTTTCATCCTCCTATGATTTGCTTTATGAGATGTCTGCCACAAATTCTGTTATGTAGAAACCTTTTGAATTGAACCCTTTTATATGTCGTTTCCAGAATATATACTCGGATTATGACTCTACATGTTTCCTGGCTGGCAACCTGCACCACCACCCCCCACCCCCCCACCCCACCCACCCCGCGCCAGATCACAATTGGTCATCGCTCTGCATTTGTAAACAATTTATCAATCTACAGAAAAAAATACAAGGAAATTTTGAATACCACATGGCGAGACCGCGAGAGGCCCACAACTGCATTGGGATGTTGAGACAATTAGTCTTAATAAACTGGAATACATCTCCATTACTGAATTCGTCTTTCTCAACTTTTTATTGTTTTCAAGGATGATAATATTGTGTCCCAACATACACGTTCCTAGCTTAGGGTTACAAGTTTTAATCTCCCACTTTCCTTTTCTTTATTTTTTTTACTGTTTTTTTTTTGGTAGTTCTAACATAAACATAAAACGTCAATAGTACCATAAGCAAATGATGGATATATATGTGCAGAAGTTAACTAATATAAGCAGTTTTATCGAACCTCGTATTTCAAAAATCCTTCGAGAACATCCAAAAGCAATGGACCACTATCCCCATTCCTGTTAAGATCATATCCATTCTTGCTGCTAAATTCTTTTAGCTCTGATTTCCAAGAATCCTTTGGCTGCAAACAAGTGAACTTTTGTAAATTGAAGTAATAATTGACAATTTATGCAAGGTGGTTTAAAATCATTAGAGAAAGCTGTATATTATTACCAAATTACACTCTGGCAAATAAACTTTAAGTGTGTGGTTTAATTGAGCCCAGTCAAAATATTCACATATGAGTGCAGTTAGTAGCCTTCCTGCATTCAGAAAAGAAAATAAAACAGGTAACAAGGAATTAGTGAAGGAAAATATGTAATATATTAGCTCTTCTTTAACTACTTGAACACCTATCTCCATGCACTGATTACAGAACTACACGACCTAATGTGGTGAAAGGCACTAACCTACAAGTAATATTGGTGTTACTGTGAAAATATCAGTGTGCTATATAAAAACTCTTAAGTAACTATAGATGTTCTCCACTTTAAGATGATTATGCAAGAGAAATGGTAAGCGAGTGCACAATCTACAACACTGTCATTAATGAAAAAACAAATACAAATTTATCATGATCACTAAAGCATTTGACCAAACAATCAAGTATGTTATCCCCTCATAACTCGTGCAAAAGATGCTAGTGTCTGCATCACAATGAACGAAGAAGTCGATATAGACTTGGGACAGAAATGAGCTAGGGAGATGCTTATGTCCTTTTCTATGACAACTAAAAACCAAAGCAGGGAAAGACATCGTCCAAGGGCCCCGAAAAAAAAAAAAAGGAAAGATAGAATGCACAGATTTACTTATTTATATTTGTTCTTTGTTAGTTTCATTGTATAAATAGTAGTAAATAGCCCTAATCTCATATGTATTAGGAGTAGGACATGTATTATATATATATAGGGCTCATTGTATCATTGTCATAATTAATCAATAATAGATTTTTCTCCCGTGCATTCTCACATGGTATCAGAGCTTCAGTGAGAAAATTATAGTTGTGCGTCATTCCAGCAACTTCCGGGAAGAAAGACCTCATCGCCGTGCAATTTTCCGGCGACTTAAGAGGCTGTCCGTAACAAAATCACTTTCCGTTGGTATTGTGCAAAAACCAACACCACCACAGGGTTCCCAAGGCTCCGGCGACCAAACCCCAGTAAACCCCACCGGAAAACTCCTCTTCACGCGCCCTCAGGCGCCAGAAACTTCCCGGCAGATCCGCCCCACGCGCCGGCGCGTGAACACTGTTCCGGTCAGATTTTAAAAAAGTTTCTTCAGGACAGCTTCATCTCCTTGCAATTCCGAGTCCATTGGTACTATTTCCGACAGATTCCGACAACTTTGGAATTTTCCGGCGAGCTACAGTGATTTTTCCGACGTGAACAGTGATCCCTAGCAATTTTCTGCTTTTTCCGGCACAATATTATAATGGAATTCGTACCTGAAGCCTTTAACTCACAATCCGTTGGATTAATGCAATAAATCCAATCCAGATGGTTTCCTTACCGGATTATATTGAGTTCCTTCAGTACAAAGCACGTAAACAGACATCTTCAGGATTAACCTCCGTTGTTCCAACAAATAGTAGCATGACTGGTGTCTCCCAATCTTCACCTTCTGAGTCTTGGGTCATTGATTCAGGTGCATCTGATCATATTTCTGGTAACAAATCTCTTTTCATTAGTATCTCATATTCCCAATCTCTTCCAACAGTCACAATGGCCAATGGGTCTCAAGCCATGGCAACTGCAATACGTCAAGCAAGTCCACTTCCTTCCTTACCTTTAGACTCAGTTCTTTACGTTCCTGGTAGTCCTTTTAATCTCATAGCCGTTAGTCGCTTAGCCAAATCACTTAAATCTGCTGTTTTATTTCTTGATGACCTTGTTTTTATACAGGAACGCAGTACAGGGCGGATCATTGGTACCGGACGTGAATCAGATGGACTTTATTACCTTATCCTTGCAAAATCACATGGACTCGCATCTTGTCTTCCTCCAATAACTTCTCCCGTTACTGATTCACCAGATTTATAACATAAACGGTTAGGACATCCCAGTTTCTCAAAACTTCAGAAAATGGTACCTGGCTTATCTCACTTGTCCACTCTAGAGTGTGAGTCGTGTCAGCTCGGTAAGCATACCCGCTCCCATTTTTCGGGCGTCTTGACAATCGAGCAGAGTCACCTTTTACTTTAGTCCATTCAGATGTTTGGGGTCCTAGTCGGGTTAGCTCTACCTTAGGATTCCGCTACTTTGTCAGTTTCATTGATGATTATTCCAGGTGCACTTGGATATTTTTGATGAAAAATCGATCTGAGTTGTTTTCTATTTTCCAGACCTTCCATGCTGAAATTCAAAATCAATTTGGGGTTTCTATCCGCACATTTCGTAGTGATAATGCCCTAGAGTATTTGTCTTCCCCATTTCAGCAGTTTATGAACTCCCATGGGATTATTCATCAAACATCTTGTCCGTACACATCCCAACAAAATGGGGTAGCTGAAAGAAAGAATAGACATCTTATTGAAACTGCTCGTACCCTACTCATACAATCTCATGTTCCGCTGCGTTTTTGGGGGGATGCAGTTCTTACATCTTGTTATCTTATTAATCGTATGCCATCTTCAGCTATCCAAAATCAAGTTCCATTCTCTGTCCTGTTTCCTCACTTACCTTTGTTCTCTCTTCCACCCCGTGTCTTTGGGAGTACGTGCTTTGTTCATGACCTTACTCCAGGAAAAGATAAGTTAGCTCCTCGTGCTCTAAGTGCATATTTCTGGGTTACTCGCGAACGCAAAAGGGATATCGATGTTATTCTCCTGACTTTCAGCGATTTCTTATGTCTGCTGATGTTACCTTCTTTGAAACCCAATCATACTTCACAGGTTCCGTTAATCACTTAGAAATTTCCGAGGTGCTACCTGTTCCTTCTTTTGGAGATTCAGTCCCTATCTCCCATTCATCTCCCTCCATAGCTCCACCGCCTACAGTTCCAATTACAGCTCCACCACCTATAGCCTACCAGTGTCACCACCGTCCCAACTATAGATCCAGTGCCACCACCTAGTCCAGTTCCACCAACTATAGCTCCAGTGCCACCACCTAGTCGAGTTCGACCTTCTATAGCTCCACCACTCCTGACTTATCATCGTCGTCCGCCCCCAGCATCAAGCCCAGCTGATTCACGTCCTGCACCTGACCCTGCTAATACTGTGGACTTGTCTCCTCTTAATCAACCGATTGCACTACGAAAAGGTATACGGTCCACACTTAATCCTAATCCTCATTATATCGGTTTAAGTTACCATCGTCTCTCATCATCCCATTGTGCATTTGTGTCATCTTTGTCCTCTGTTTCCATTCCTAAGTCTACAGGTGAAGCACTGTCTCATCCCGGATGGCGACAGGCTATGATTGACGAGATGTCTGCTTTACATACGAGTGGTACTTGGGAGCTTGTTCCTCTTCCTTCAGGTAAATCGACTGTTGGTTGTCGTTGGGTGTATGCAGTCAAAGTTGGTCCAGATGGCCAGGTTGATCGACTTAAGGCTCGTCTTGTTGCCAAAGGATATACTCAGATATTTGGACTCGATTACAGTGATACTTTCTCTCCCGTGGCTAAAATTGCATCAGTCCGCCTTTTTCTATCCATGGCTGCTGTTCGCCATTGGCCTCTCTATCAGTTGGACATTAAGAATGCTTTTCTTCACGGTGACCTTGAGGATGAGGTTTATATGGAGCAACCACCTAGTTTTGTTGCTCAGGGGGAGTCTAGTGGCCTTGTATGTCGGTTGCGCCGGTCCCTCTATGGTCTAAAGCAGTCTCCTCGAGCCTGGTTTGGTAAGTTCAGCACAGTTATTCAGGAGTTTGGCATGACTCGTAGTGAAGCTGATCACTCTGTATTTTATCGACATTCTGTTTCAAATCTCTGTATTTATCTGGTCGTTTATGTTGACGATATTGTTATTACCGGCAATGATCAGGATGGTATTAGTAAGTTGAAGCAACATCTCTTTCAGCACTTTCAGACTAAGGATCTGGGCAGATTAAAGTATTTTCTGGGTATTGAGGTCGCTCAGTCTAGCTCAGGTATTGTGATCTCACAACGGAAGTATGCCTTAGATATTCTTGAGGAGACAGGAATGACAGGTTGTAGACACTCCGATGGATCCGAATTCTAAACTTCTGCCAGGACAGGGGGAGCCTCTTAGCGATCCTGCAAGATATAGGCGGTTGGTTGGTAAATTAAATTACCTCACAGTGACTAGACCTGACATTTCCTTTCCTGTGAGTGTTGTGAGTCAGTTTATGGATTCTCCCTGTGATAGTCATTGGGATGCAATTGTCCGCATTCTTCGATATATAAAATCAGCTCCAGGCAAAGGCTTATTGTTTGAAGATCGAGGCCATGAGCAAATCGTTGGATACTCAGATGCTGATTGGGCAGGATCACCTTCTGATAGACGTTCTACGTCTGGATATTGTGTCTTAGTAGGAGAAAATTTGGTGTCTTGGAAGAGCAAGAAACAGAATGTGGTTGCTCGGTCTAGTGCATAAGCACAATATCGAGCAATGGCTATGGCCACATGTGAGCTAATTTGGATCAAACAGTTGCTCAAGGAGTTGAAATTTGGTGAGATTAGTCAGATGGGACTTGTGTGTGATAATCAAGTTGCTCTTCATATTGCGTCAAATCCAGTGTTCCATGAGAGAACTAAACACATCGAGATTGACTGTCACTTTGTTAGAGAAAAGATACTCTCTGGAGATATTGCTACAAAATTTGTGAAGTCAAATGATCAGCTTGCTGATATTTTCACCAAGTCCCTCACTGGTCCTCGTATTAGTTATATATGTAACAAGCTCGGTACATATGATTTATATGCACCAGCTTGAGGGGGAGTGTTAGCTTCATTGTATAAATAGTAGTAAATAGCCCTAATCCCATATGTATTAGGAGTAGGACATGTATTGTATATATATAAGGCTCATTGTATCATTGTCATAATTAATCAATAATAGATTTTTCTCCCGTGCATTCTCACATTCGTTTACAAGTGCACACCTTTCCCTAACTCAAAATACTAAAGTCAATACACTTGACTCTTTATCACACAAATCTTTTTGTTGTATAAGGTAGAATTAACTATTTATATCCATACTTATCATATACTATTTCATTTAAAGAAAATTGACTATTTATCACAAAGCTCTAGGAATTGACAATATTCAACTTAATAAAATATCAATTGCAAGCAGAATTACTTCAGGTATCCAAAAGAACTAGTCACGTTTTGACTAAAGACATTGATTAAGAGAAGAGATGAATATGTAATTGTTTAATATCAGTCAGAGCACCTTGGGGTGTGACGGGGTGTGACGGGGTGGTCAACGAAGGGTGCAAACTTTTGCGATCAAGGTTCAAATCCCAGCAAAAACAAAAGAAAATGTGATTTCTTCCCATCTACCTAAGCACGGGGGAGAGAGCTACCCGGTATCTATGCTGGTGAGAGGTTGTAGGTACACGCGGATATAACAAAGGCGTGAAAGCTGGCATGAACACCACAGTTATTAAAAGAATTGGTTGGGAACATGAAGGACTATATCTCGACTTTTGTGTTTTTTCTTGTTAACTTTTTGTTGTTGTTATTTAATAGTATAGTTCTATTTATATACAAAAATGAGCACAGAGACAGATGGGGTAAGTGTTATGTTCCAAAATGAGTGCATTAACATATTCAACTTGTGCAACCATGATAAGTTGGTTATCGCCTTATGATGTGGAATCAAAAACCCAACCTTCACGCCAATAAGACTGTAAAGAGACTCAAGAACCATATTCATTCTAAGCCCCATTGCAGATGGAAGATAAAACGCTTATAAGGTTCAAATGGAGGTCACAACAACATGCAAAATTCATGTATATTTAGGTATAACTTTTCCTGATAAATAAAGGGCAGCCCAGTGCACTAAGCTCCCGCGCTGTGCGGGGTCCAAGGAAGGGTCGAACCACAAGGGTCTATTGTACGCAGCCTTACCCTACATTTCTGCAAGAGGCTATTTCCAAAGCTCGAACCCGTGACCTCCTGGTCACATGGCAACAACTTTACCAGTTACGTCAATGCTCCCCTTCGTAACTTTTCCAGATAAATGATTTTTTAATTTTTTTTTTTTTTTGAAAGGGTATCTAGTAGTGATGTCAAAACCAGCACTAAGAAAATGTTGTGATCTAAGAAAGTGTTTTTATCACATCCAAAAGAGAGTTCTTAGATAAACGACACTCTCTATGATTTTCCGAAGGGTTCGAAGAAGGAGCATCTAGTCCTATGCATTTCAAATCTATAGGTCAGATCCTATGCACCCATCTGGTTATACCAAAAAGAATTTTACTTCTATAAAGAAACAAATAGTATATCCATTTAAGACTAATTCGTTTCAAATGACACAGAAGAGATGTTATTCGAATTTTTAAATTCAAAATCTGCTGTCCTTAAATAGTTACATTCAAATGCTTCCAACCAAAGTCCAAAGAAATCCGATGGCTTTCTTCTCAGCTGGTTCTAGATGATTTTTTATAAGGTTCGATGATCTTACTAACCACAAGATACAAACTTCATGTGGCATCAAATTCCAGGTTATAATGTTTCAGGAAAGATTAAAAATCAGAATCATAATTCTTAGAAAGTAACCTGAAAAGAAACATAAATCTTTGGCAACAGAAAGTGTTTTCATCTCCAATTCAGATTTAGGTTGCACTTCAGTTGATCAGGCAGGCAGGTTCTCACATTTAGATTCTAAAAGACTAGTTCAGATATCTAGATTGAACAGTTAAACAGCATACGTATAAGTACATAGAACAAACTCAATCCATCACAATATTTGAGAGTTCCATGGGCACAACAATACTCTGCAGAGTACACACAATACTGAACACTCAGCTTTCAGATATATATAACCGAAGTTTAACAAATTTTCCATAAACAAGTTAGTGGCCGTCCTCCTATACCAAAGAATTTGGCAAGGATTCATAAAGGGTAAAAAACCAAAAAGATTAAAACAAGTAACTGAGAACCTGAAGGGGAATTATGGAGTTGCTTCGCGCGCTCATTGCAGCTACCCAATAGTGCAGGAGGCAAGGCTTCATCCTTCTCGATTGCCCTATCCTCCTCTTCTATCGCCTCGAAGACGCTTGCTCTAAGTTCAGCCTAAGAAATGTAGCCAAGTAAAATATGTAAATACGTTGTGAATCAACCAGGATTGCACTGTATATCAACAAAAGAGAATCTGAAGAAGGATTCACATGTGACATCAATGTTTTATTTCAATAAACAAGATCATCAGGTTTTATTTCCTAATAAATAATTTCTCTTCACCAGAAAAGTACAAAAGATTCTCTATTACTACAAATCAAACATGGTAAAAGAACCAAACATTTGTTTCAGCTTTTTTTCTACTACACTTCCTCTGTCGTGGTAGTAACAAGTAGCTCGCATGAATGAAGGCAAGTCAAACTATTTTCCAGTCTTGTGAGGAAAAAGGCATGGTGGGGAATGAACCTTACACGCCTAGGATACAAGGTAGCAATTCTACCAGTAGGTTACCATTTAATCCTCATTGTCCTGCATATCCCAATCTTTTCTCTAAATGTTTGAGCCTTTAATTAGGTTTAACCCCTTCAAATCCATCAATTCGTACTTGTTCAAGCTAAGTCACCCTAACTGAGCAGCAAAGGCAAAAACACTAATTGATTTCTTCCCATGGGCAGAGTTACCTAGTACCCGTGCTGCTGGGAGTTGGCATATATCCAATGAAATTAGTCAAGGTGCACACAAGCTCGCCCGGACACCACGGTAAAAAATAAAATTAGTCACCCCTAACTGAGCGCAATAATATCCTATTCTTTTGCTTCCAACTTTGGGATTTAGATCCCTCAGTGATTCATTTGTCTGCTGACTAGCCCCAAATAAACCTGAAAGGTAGGATGAGCATCAAAGGAATATGCTCTTTCTAGATAAGTTATGCATAATTTGTCCAACGAAAAATGCAACAAGTGAAGGAAAAAAGTATACATGCTGCAACCTGTCAAAATTCTAATATTTAGCTCCTTGAAGATGCATAAAACAGTTAAGCAATTAAGTTAAACATAAGGTATTCATTTCTACACATTAAATCACTTAAACTATACTTTGCATTACCCAGAGATTTTATAAGCTGGTGACACCTTCTTGTGTGCCTTATACCCTACTTTTTGCAACCAACCAAGTTTAATCTTAAGACTTAAAATTCACAAAGATCCAATTTTTCAATTCCTACTCCCTAGCCAAGAAACAATGGGAATTAGCTATTCGTGACCCCAATTTTCAGAACAGGGAAAATTAAATCTGCAGATATAATGAACCAAGCAATATCTAATTACAGCTTCGTCGGAAAGCCCAAGCCATACCAGAAAAGCAAAATGTACAAAATTTGGAAGCACAAAATACATAACCACTCGATCTGATTGAGAAGAAAATTCACCCAAAAAAAAATGAAAATGCGGAAGAGAAGAATTGTTTGCTCATACTCGGATCTTGGCAAGGACGCCTTTCTTCTCTAGGGTTCGGGTGACGAGGGTTTTGAGGTCCATCATTTCTCTTGTATAATCGTCCATTTTCTACTCTGTGCTGAAGCTAAGAGTTAGAAATGTTTGATGTTTTCAGGTGTAGCGGATGGTTTCTCTTCTCATGGAAGGGCCTCTCCGCTTTGCCTGTGCGATAATGACAGTATTTGGGTCCTTGGATTGTTTTTGAAATGAAATGTTTAATAATGTTGATGACACGTATATAAGTGAAGGTAACAATTGTTACAATTTTGATAAGTACTTCAATTGTTATTCGGAAAATTCGGCCCTTAAGATTTTTGTAAATTAAAACAATTAGATCCTTTATGTTGAGGGTAGCTCTAAATAAATAACAATATTTATAAAAAAAACTTCGAGCGATTTTATATTTGAGATGTTAAAAAAACTTTAATAGCATTGATTGGTTATAATCGTGTGCTATACCGAAGGCTAACACAATGAGTGATGGTAATTTGAACGAAACTTGTGAAACGTCAGCATTTTCAATTGTAGTGTGTGTAACGTGGTTGTTTTCTAATTGAGCACCCAGCAACCCTCCATATCTGAAAAGTGGCAAACTATCTTTGTTGAAGGTAATGGATTTTTGCAATTACCTACTCGTCTTGTTTGTGAGACAGCTTTTTGAAACATAGAAATGGTGATCGTTGATCACGCCCAACTATGCCTTATAAAAAGGACAATGCGGTCGTTGCAAATATAATCCGGTTTACAAGTCCGGAGTCGAATCCCACAGAGAACTAAGGTTTAGCTACAGCTGTTCACTATCACCAAGAAGACAAGCTTGAACAATTCCTAACTTATAGATATTAAGATTCTTGTGTTTAACTACTTAACTAACAAATTAAAATAGTAAATTAACAACTAAAGATATTGAGGGCTAGAGAAAAGATTAAGGAGGTCTAGAGTTATGATTTCCCCAATTGTCGGAATCCTTCCCGCTATGTCTTCTATAATTTCGCCTAAGTATTCTCTACCGATCATGAGCACTCTTATTACCGTAAATCTCTCCCGAGTAATTACGACAATTTACTAGACGCACTCTCCCGAGATACGCTAGCTGGCTTTTAATACAGCTCACTTTAGATCGCACTCAAGGCTTCGTTATCCCTAATCCCGCCTTTAAACCCTCGGTTATTGATCCTCATATACTCTGGGAGTGGTGTTGTTCAACAATTACCTAAATATGCACTCTCTCCCGAGTTATGCATACTAAATAGGCACAGCTAATTGAGAGCTCTTCAACCAACCACAATATAAACGTAGTTGAACAAATAGAGAAAAGCTATGGCTAAATTATATAAAAACATAACAAGAATTTATCCTACAAAAGGTTCTATCAAACTCTAGATAACAAATTAGCTATTCATAATAGTATGTAAAACTACAATACTAAAAGTCATAACCAACAATGAAAAATAGGAAGAGGAAGGAAAAAACTCGTAGAAGAATTCTCCGCCTTGCTCCCAATGTGTTCTTGCCTCCAAGGGTGTTGTCTAACCCTAAAGTAGTGTCTCTCCGCCTCCTCAGGTCTAATTTGTGTCCAAAATATGTCCTACCTCTTGTTCTTGGCCAGCCTCCTTTGTTTAATATAGGGTTTAGGACTTAAAATCCCATATTTTGCACTTTAGTCCCTGAAATTTTCGCTTCCTGCCGCAGTCCCACCGCGGTCGCGGTCAAACCGCGGCCAGACATGCCCTCTGATTCTTCAGTTGTCCGCGACCATCTTCTACCGCGGTTCTGCCGCGGTCTCGTCATAACCGC